AACATCATCATTATTATTATCATCATCCTCAACATCATCAGCATCATCATCAGCATCATCAGGGGGGCGGGTCCCGCCCGAGAGGTGACCAAGGGGCAGGTCGGGCCCGAGCTCGTCGCCTCGCCCGCCTCGGCCCCCCCTCCCCCCCCGTCCCGCGGCCCGCTCCCCTGCCCCACTCTCGTGGAGGTCGCCGTTTGTTTATCGTTCGCCCCGCGGCTGGCCGCCGCCGTGTCGTCCTCGTCGATTGCTCTCTCTCTCTCTCTCTCTCTCTCTCTATATATATATCTCTCTCTCTCTCTCTCTCCATCTCTCTCTCCCTCTCTCTCTCTCTCCCTCCCTCTCTCTCTCTTTCTTTCTCTCTCCCTCTCGCTGCGGGCGACGGCGGCCGTCCATCAAACCGAGTCGCACGACCTCAAGAGCGTGGTTTCTCCTGACAAGGCGCAGCGGGTGGCCGGCGACCCTGCTCTGGGAGAGCTCTTGTCTGCATGGCCGGGCGCGCTGGCTGGGCCGAGCGCCAGCTTCTCTACTGCTGTCAACCTCGGCGTTGATGATGCGGCAGGGAGGACTAAGAGGAAAAGCGGAAGAATTGTGAAGAGGAAAGAGAAGGAACAGGTGTTCAGGAGGAAGGTGGGTCGCATCAAGAGACATCGGCATGTTCTAGGACGTTCTGCGCGCATGATTTTTTGCAGCGGTCCGCTTCCAGGTATGTGCTTTGGCGCGGAGGTTCCCTTGTCTGAGCAGCTATGAGTTGGGGATGATCAGGCAGCAGGCGGGTCGATGTTTGCGCCCAACCTGTGGCGAGAGATCCTTATCCGCTGCTCTCGTCTTTGAAAATGAACCTTGTTGGTGCGGCATGGTAGCACCAGTCGTCAGGTGGGGTAAGGAGGTGTGGGCTGCTCAGTGTAGATCTGCCTTAAGCTCTTTCACCATGCCCGAACTGCGGCGGTTGTGGGCATGTGTCTTTGAGTCTCGTGCACCGCACACCACCTGGAGGCACGTGCACGGACCTATCAGCGCCTTGTACATGTCATTGAGCCGCATAATGTGGAACATGAAAGATTTCGTGGCCGTACTTGATCATCAGGGCACGGTCACTCAACTTACCTTTATCAGCCCCATGCTTGTGAAATATTCGCTTCGGCGAGCGGTTGTCAGGGACCTCGAACAGTCGATCGCCAAGAAACTCGAGATGCCCTGGTACCGAGCCTGTTTCGACATCGTCAAGGCCGAAGCCCGTCGTAAAAAGCACACCCCCTTAGAACAGGGCATGATCCAGAAATCTGGCGTGTGGAGGCTGCTGGGCAGCATCCCGTGCTCGTGATGTAGGATATGTTCTGGATGACGAGCGACTCCTCTGTCCTCTTTGCATGCAGGCTGTGGATACCCCGCTTCACAGGCTCTGGAGTTGCGAAGCGGTCCAGGAGATGAGGAAGGAGTTGGTCAATGATGAGACTATCAGCAAGGCCCGAGGTTCTATCACGGAGGAGGAGGTTTTGTTGTTCACGCGCGGCATCTTCGAACACCCAACGAGTTTCTGGCCTCAGCCGTGTGAATCGGGCGGGGTGGAAATCAGATCGCATCGAGAGGATCGTGAGGTCGACGACGGAGTGAAAGGTGGTAGATTTTTTGTCGACGGTATTATATTTGGGCATCCGATACCAGAACTTTCGAGGGCTGGATGGGGGATTGTTCAAGTTTCGGCTGAAGGTCTCCCCGAGTGCTAGATCTTTGGGCCTGTGTGTTCTCCGATATTGCAGACTGCCCCCGCCGCTGAGTTTGTGGCTATGGCTCAGGCGTCTTTGCAGCTGGGGAGCCCCAGTGTTGTTTTTTCTTCTGATTGCCAGGCGGTCGCCAGCCACTACAGGCGACCACCCTCTATCAGATTGCCCCTTGAGAAGAAATATGCAGGCCAGTTTCTTTACATCAACCAGTGCAATCATTTAGAGTCCCTGGTCACGGTCAAAGCCCACCGGGATCCTGAAGAGCCCGACCTTGAGCAGGGTGAGCGAATCCGTAGGATGGACAACGGCCATGCCGACGCTGTCGCCAAGGCAGGGGCTAATGTCCACCCTAGACCGTCAGAGGCTGAAGCAGCGAAGGTGGCCAGTAACATCGCTGTTGCTCGTGCAGTGTGTCTTCTAGCCGCCAAGCTGTTACCTCAGTGGCCGAGGCTCCGACTCGATGGTGTTGAGTTCTCAACCCCAGATCGCGTGCGTCAGTCTGCTGCCGTTGTCACTCAACATGACTGGCAGTTCTTTAGTGGGTGTTGGCGTTGTACAGTTTGTCGTGTAAAGGTGCTAGGTCAGATTCCAGGCCTGACCTTGGGAAATGCCTCGGCCCGTCGCAATTGGACATGTACGGTGCGGAGCGGAATGCCCATGAGCCTGCTCTGTTGCATGTGTCCGACGGATCGGACTGTTATTTGTGCCTGTGCTGTGGGGCCTTCCTCCACGCAGGTGCATTGTCGCACAGTGGCTTTGCCAGCAGATGCCTCGGGCAGTTCAGCAGACATAGCCGCACTACTTTCAATCATGTCAGGACGTTACCCGCGGAACGACAAGGATCTGGGGATTGTTGAATCTCCGATCATCCCTTCGTTTGCACCTGGCCTCGACCCCAAGGCGAGTTGGGAAGCCTGTGCGAACGGCCCCGAACCCGATCCTGTGTCTGCCTCGAGGAATGCTTCGGTGATGCACCGCCTGGTGGAGGCGGCCTCGGGCGGGCCAGGAGATGTCAAAGGGTATGATTCGGGATCTTCGGATTGAGTTCGGGCTGCAGCTTTTAGCCAAAGGGGATCCTCCCGCCGTTGGGAGCTCGCCCATTGGTTTCTAGGCCGCTTCCTGTGGTCAGTCCCTTTTCTCTTTCAGGTCCCCCCCTGGCCAGTATAGATCTGGTTCCATCGGGGGACAGTCTGCACCAATGAGTGCCCTCTGTGGGAGTCGCCAACCCACAGTGGTATCGGGCTGCATCGTGGATGTCAAAAATCCTCCTCTTCCTCCCCATCCTCCTCCTCGTCCTCTTCGTCCTCCTCGTCCTCCTCCTCCTCCTCCTCCTGCTCCTCCTCCTCCTCCTCCTGCTCCTCCTCCTCCTGCTCCTCCTCCTCCTCCTCCTCCTCCTCCTCCTCCTCCTCCTCCTCCAGAGCCGCGGCCCCGGCCGACCGGCCCGAGGAGCCCCCGCGTGGGGCCCCGCGGGGGCCGGGCGGGCCTTCAGCGTCCAGTCGTAGAAGTCGAAGTCGCCCCGCTGGATGATAGCGCGCCACGCCTCGGCCGGGAGGGAGCGGAGAGCTGCGGGGGGGAAGGGAGGGGGGGGAAGGAGGGCGGGGAAGGAGGGGGGGGGAAGGAGGAGGAGGGGGGGGGGGAAGGAGGGGGGGGGAAGGAGGGGGGGAAGAAGGGGGGGAGAAGGAAGAAGGAGGGGAAAGGAGGTGCGGGGGGGGGGGGGGGGAGCCGGTCTGGGCGGGTCAGGGAGGGGGGTGGGGGCAGGAAGGGGGGGGGGGGAGGCCGGGGGAGGGGGGAGAAGGGAGGAGGGGGGAGGGGGAGGAAGCGGGAGGGAGGCGGGATGTCGAAGAAGAGGAGGAGGAGGAGGCGGAGGAGGAGCAAGAGGAGGAGCAGGAGGAGGAGGAGGAGGAGGAGGAGGAGGGGGGCAGAGACGGAGGCAAGGGGGATGGAGGATGTGTGAAAGGAAAGGCTTCATTTTGGTAACGTCGTCGTGATCGTCTTGCGATGTATTCCCCAAGGCCAGTGGTGGGCTGCCCCGCCAGTTCGGCTGACTGCCTGCGTAGGGGGGCCGGGGTGATCAGCCCTTGAGCCGAACCCCCCTCTGTGCTTGTTTTGGTGGGCCCCAACTCGGCCATCAAGGACGGCCGGAATTTTCTAAACAATATTTCGATTCTGCTATGTGGGGCTGACAAGCCCAAGCGTCGGCGCGACAGTGCGTCCACAGGGGGCCTGGGGTGGACCTGACCACCCAAGGAACCAGTCCAGCAAGCGCTGACCCGTGGCAAGCCCCTGGTGCTGCTACGATCGGACCGGGGCGTGATGGCAGAAACCCCGCGTGATCGGACTGAGGCGAGATTTCGATCCTGATCCATCTGTAATGACGATGCGCCCCACACTTGGCGGCGAGCGCGGTGGGCGAAGTAAGAAATGGCGGGCCTTCTCAGAAGGCTCGGAAGCCCCCCCGCCTTCTGAGGAGTTTTCTGAGCCTTCCCCGATGGCACAGAAGACTTCTCAGAAGGCACGAGGGCTTCTGATAAGCTTCGCCGCCTTCTGAAAAGGCCTTCTCCTTCTCATTCCCCTCTCCCCCTGGCTCGCCGCCAATTGATACAGCAGGAGCTCGACCAGAAGAAACCTGCCATAAGAAACCCAAGAGACCCCAGGACGTCCCTAATTGTTTGGTGTAAGAGAGCGTCACGCGCTTTCCATCGCGAACAAACAAAGCAAGAGACCCAGGGCACCCTGGCAGCAGGCAAGGTGCTTCTTGGCATGGGCTTCCACTGTATGATCTCGCCGTGTGGTGAGGGCTGCAGGGCAAGCTGATGGAGCCACTCATGTCATAGTAATGATAGGATGTGCGATTTTGAAAAATGGCCCCGGATTTAGAACATCCATTTCTGAATTTAGGAAACCGGCTTTTGAGTTCACTAAGTGATGTTCTGTCTTGTGCTGGCTGGGCGGCACACTGTAATAGATCCGTTTCTCGCTTTCATACATCCTCGCGTTGTCAATACTTTGTTTTAAGAGTGCGCGCTCATCCACTACAGTCGGGGCGTTGACCTAAGGAACCCTAAAAAAGGAACGGGGCCCCTTCCTCCGATAAATTGAGCTTCGATTTCCCATGGGAAACCTCAGGAAAACAAAAGGCAAACTGCAGAACAATCAGGGAACACCGGGCCCCTCCCCAACGAAAAGGGTTCCTTCTTCAGGGCCCCGACTGTACCATGACCTATGTTGGCCAGTGGCACGCAGGGGCGCGCGGGCGTGCTCTGCGCTTCTCTTCCTTTTCCCGCCAGCGCGAGCCCTGCCGGAGCTCTGCGGGCGCGCTGCGGCGATCCTCGCCCCCCCTCGCTCCTCCAGCGGAGGGCGGCCGCCGAGGAGGGCGAACAAGGGGGGAGGGACCCCGAGATCCTGGCGATGCCATTTTTTCTCGCACAGGGCGTTGGCGCCCAATCTCGGGTCCTGGGGCCTCCCCTGACCTTCCAGGAGGGCTAGGAAATAGCACCAGGACGTCGACGTCCTAATTCCTGTCGAGGCTGGAGGCAGTCCAGATAGGTTTATAGGTCTGGAGCGCTAATTTTCAGCACTCTGGAAGGTCGGGGTCACTGATGGATCCAGGTCCAAAAACTTTGGACGCCCGAAATGGGTACGGAAAGAATGGGCACAGTGCCCAACAACAAATGTTGTCCCAAACCAACAGCGGCCGCTGTTGGGCAGGCGGCCTTCTGTCTCGAATAGACACAGGCCGCGGCGGCGTGGACAGCGAATCCTGCGCAAAATGAGCAGGAACTGCTGCTGGGCATTGTGTCCCTTCTTTCCGTACCCGTGTCGGGCGTCCAGAGAAACGACGCAGAAAGATGGGGCGGGGGCTCTGGTCGTGATCTTCCTCGATGCTGCATTTTCCCTGACCTCCCAGGAGGGCTAAAAAATAGCACCAGGACGTCGACGTCCTGATTCCTGTCGAGGTTTGAGGCAGTCGAGATAGATCTATAGGTCTGGAGAGCTATTTTTTAGCACTCTGGAAGGTCAGGGTTGTTGCCGCGGCGTCGGGTCTCAGGGCGCGCCTAGGCCCTACTCCTGGTGCTGCCTCTGCTCGCCGGCCCTGCCCCGACGCGTCGAGGGCGCGGGGCGGGGGCCTCGCGCGGCGCCCGGGCGCTCCGGGGGCCTCTGGCCGCGGCGGGCGGGGCGCGGCCCCGCCGCCGCTCGGGGGCGGGGAGGGTGGGCGGGGAGGGTGCGCGAGGCTCCTCTTCGTCGGGGTCGGACAAGGCAGGGGGCGTCCAAGGGGGGGGGCCGCAACTCCTGGCCAGCGGCACGTGCGCGAGGCTCCGCTTCGTCGGGGTCGGACAAGGCAGGGGGCATCCAAGGGGGGGGGGGGGGGCCGCAACTCCTGGCCGGCGGCATGCGCGCGGCCCAGGGGGGGAGCCAGGGACGTCATGGAATGAGACGAGGCGCCATGACATCTGAAGAAAGATCGTGGCCCACGCCATGGTGTCCCCCTCCCCTGGTCATCACCTCCCTCTTTGCCGCTCCCGACTTTGTTGTCCGCGCGCCCCAGGACAGCCCCAGACCCTCCGGTGGCAACTCATGGGGGCCTCCCATACCATCTCTTGTCGCCTCTTGCGACTCGGCGCTGGCCGACGCGAAGCCGACGTTCGTCGACGCGAGACCGACGCCCAATCGGCGCTGCCTCATCGACTGCAGAGGCTATACTCGACGCTGGTCGTCGCTGAAGACAAGAGTTGAGAAGGTACACCAGGCTCCCATGCGGTGCTACCGAAGCAGACCCGTCGGGCGGGGAAGCCGACGGCCCCCCCCCCAGCCGCGCGCCCCGGCGCCGCGCCCCCCCGACGGTCCGCCAAACGGTCGCCGTGCCACCGCCGCGGCCGCCGCCAGTGGCCGCCGCGCCACCGCCCCGCGCGCCGTCCTCCGCGCGCGCGCGCCAGCCAGCACGGCGCGGGCGCTCTGCGAGGAGGCCGCGGGGAGGAGGCGCCGCGTCAGACGCGGAGCGGCGACCCCGCGGTGCCGTCGAAGGGGCTGCGGGTTAGCCTGGGGCCGCGGCGGCGGCGGCGGCGGCGATGGAGCATCATCGGCGGCGCACCCCGTGGGGGGTGAGGCAGAGGGGGCGGGCCTCCTCGGAGCGCTGGGAGGGCCCCCCCTGGCCTCCCGGGAAGCTCCCCGGGCCTCCCCCGAAGATGTCGACGGAGGCGGCTTCGCAGAAGGCCGGAGGGCTTCCGAGAAGCCCCGCCGCCTTCTGCAACCCTGACCGTCCAGCGCGCTAAAAGAATAGCACTTCAGACCTATAGACCCATCTGGACTGCCTCAAACCTCGACAGGAATTAGGACGTCGACGCCCTGGTGCTATTTTTTAGCCCTCCTGGAAAATCAGGGTGCAAGGGCATCCCCCCTCGCCCCGACGCTGCACAGCGGAGCCGAAGCGCAGACTGCCCAGAGGAAGCCGCCAGAGCACCCTTTCGGTCAGGCCCCGGGCTCCTCTGGCGCGGCCGGGCCGACCCCTGGCAGACCGTCCCCCTCGGTCCCTGACCTTCCAGAGTGCTAGAAAATAGCACTCCAGACCTATAGATCTATCTGGACTGCCTCAAACCTCGAGAGGAATTAGGACGTCGACGTCCTGGTGCTAGTTTTTTGCCCTCCTGGAAGGTCAGGGGTGGCGTCATCCTCCCCTTTCGACCGCCTTGCTGGCCGCATACCCACGTCCTGGGGCGAGGCGACGGGGACGCCACGGGAGGGTATGGTTTGCCCTACAGCGGAGGCCAGTCCACAACAGACCTTCCACGAGAGGCCCAACCCTGGGGCCCCAGGACGTCCATGGACTTCTGGCGCGGGAGCGTCACTCTCCCCACAGCAAAGCCAGCGAAACCCGAGAAGGGTGTCTCTTGGCATGGGGGTCTCCACTGTAGGCCGCCCCTGAGGCTCTTGGTGCGCTCCGGAAGCTCCGGAGCAGAGGGGGGCCGCCCACGCTCCCGGAGCCCGTGCGGAGCGAAAGGAGGTCCGGGAAGCCTGGCCGTGCCTGGAGCGGGACGCACAGGGACATACTAATACTATATGTCCTCCTTGGAGGCGCGCGTGCGATCCGAACACAGAGTATACCCATCTTGTGGTACATCGTTTCCCGAGCGGTGTGGCCAGAAAGCGCACGCCACGACAAATATACTATAAGATTTCTCGGTGCGCGCGTCGCCCCGACGGGGCCACGCACATGTAGTATAAGTATGTTGGGGTGACGTCGATGGAGGTCTTGGGGCGCATCACTACCAGGACCTTCGGTGGTTCACAGATGAGCGACGATCAAAAACGAGACTTCCGCGAGATGGCACAGCGACCTTACGCGGCCGCTCACGCAGGCCGCCAGCGCGGCACGCCACAACGGAGACGAGGGCGCTTACGCGCGACCTTACGCGGGCAGCTTACGCGCCAATGTCGGCGCAGACGAACCCATTTTGCGCTGCTCAGATGGGGCCCAGAGAGATGGGGACCTATGGATCGAAAGCGGTCCAAAGGTGGATTTGCTTTGCTTGCGGCACGTCGTTCTTCTCGCCATCTCTCGGACGTCCAATCCCTGTGCATTTGTCGGCTTCGTGCGTTTCTTAGTTTTTCTGTTGTTCCCGGAAGGTGAACCGATCGTCCTCGCCGAAGAGAAGTGCACACGTCCGAGCGATGCCAAGTCTTATAGAGGGCAGAAAATCCACCCCGACCGATAAGAACCACCCCGACACGCGAAGCCGTTCACTGAACGCCCCCACCGAAGGCATCGAACAGGGCAGGGCTGTTTAGTAAACGCCCAGGGCCGTTTAGTAAACGCCAATGATCCGGTCCCGGAGGTTCTTCCTTTTGGACGCCCGAAATGGGTACGGAAAAAATGGATACAATGCCCAACAACAAATGTTGTCCCAAACCATCAGCGGCCGCTGTTGGGCAGCCGGCCTTCTGTCTCGAATGGACACGGGCCGCGGCGGTGCGGACAGCAAATCCTGCCCAGAATGAACAGAAACTGCCGTTGGGCATTCTACCCATTCTTTCCGTACCCATTTCGTTCGTGTCGATTCCTTCCTTGATCTCAGGACCCCATCATTGAGTAGGGACCGACCGTCCCGGCATTCGTATAGTCCTACCAAGAGATGTTCTCAGAATCCACAAGTGTTCTTGGAGCAAGAAACAACGTTCCTAGAACATCAACCCGATATGATAAAACCAGACGCTCCCAGCCAGAACTGTTCTAAGAACATGTCGTGGGAACCGCAATCGGTTCTTAGAACATTGTTCGGTAGGGTCATAAGCGAGCCAGGACGCTTCGCCACTGCTTGACACCCCGCAGGGCCCCCATCTCTGAACCATCGAGTGATGGGCCTGTTTTCCACCACCAACACCATAAGTTGGAGAGGGGAAGGGGGAGGAGGACGAGGAGGAGGAGGACGAAGAAAAGGAGGAGAAGGTGGAGCAGGTGGAGGAGGAGGAGGAGGTGGACCCCCTCCCCCTCCAACTTATGGTGGTGGTGTAGAAAACAGGCCCACCACCGAGAATCTCCGAGGGGCAACGCTGCGTAACGGGCGGCAGGCTCAGAATCGGGCTGGGCGAGAGGGGGGCATCGCAAAGAGGGGGTGTTTGAGCGTCACCTCGCGCAGCTGCTCTTCCCGGCGCCTGTCGGCGCCGGAGGCGGCCACGTCTCGAGGACTGGGCCCCTCGGTGGGGCTGAAACCAGCTGCGTGCAGCAAATTTCGTAAACCCCCATTTCCTTATCCCCGCCTTTCGTCCGGCCCGACAGAAGTCGGGCGTTGGCAGAACTGGGTTTAGTGGGACCTGGTTTGGTGACCTGTACTGGGGGACGCCCCCCCATCCCATTCCACGAGCCGGAACTGCCGTCATCCGAGAAAACATGAGCTACGGCGGCAGACCCGGTGTAGTGATTCTGGCCAGTTTAGGGGCTGGCTCCGAAGCCCTACCACTAACCAGATCCCCTTATCTGGGGTCCTGGCTATACCCGACTTTCGTCCGGCCGGAAAAGAAAAAGTGCAACGCATGTCTTCGCAAACCTGGGTCAGCCAATAAGCACGGCCGCCTCGCGGCCACGAGCGGCTCGCTAACCCGGGTCAGCCATGCAGAGGGGCGAAGGGTTCTTTCTCCGGGAAAAATGTTACTTCTCCGGGAAAAAGGTTACTTCCCCGGGTGAACTACCGAATCCTTGTAGATTCCTGGGGATCCCTCGGAAAGGGCTAGTTCTCTGGGTGAGACCTCATCGAGGATCCTCACACTTCTGTCTAAACTGATTTTCG